AACATCTCTTACTTAGATATTCCTTATGTCATTTTTATTCTAAAAAAAATTAATGCTAGAATTAGTCTTCATAATCACAGATGACAAGAGGCATGGAATTTAATTAAACATCTCTGTTTTAAATGAGGCTTTTTATGAATGTGCCTATCTCCTCATACGCATCCCTCATCTGAAAACTGCCGTCTCGTAAGTGGTCTGGATGAATTCCAAAATGTGCAATTCTGCCGAAGAAAAAAGGCTCCTGGCACTGTGCCATCCAGTCCGTGGGGAGCTCCATGGCCCTGGATGCTAGACTGGGTGCACAGGCTGGAGCTGGGCCCTGGAGCCAGATCCTGGCAGACTGGACCAGGCGGAGGTGGTGCTGGGCCCCAGGAGCCCCATCCTGGCACGTGGGACTGGACAAGGACAGCACAGGCCCCCTGAAGCCCCATACTGGCAGGCAGAGGTGGCGCAAGGCCCAAGCCTGGTGTGTGGTGTCCAATCTGGCCCACAGACTGGCCCTGCACCCCTCATCTGGGCTGTGGGGCCCAAAGGTTGAGCAGCATGGCCGTACAGGAACTGGAGTCACATGGTTTCTGCTGTAGGTACATGCATCTTGTACATATGAGCTCAGGGTCTTTTGGTCAACGGTACCTGTTGGGGGCTGTGCGCACGCACTGTATGCCCTTGTGCTCCCTAAAGTAAAGGGCTGTACATGGTGGAAAATCCCTACATGACTCAGTTCCTTCACTAGCACCAAACATCCAAGCAAGGATTCGAACAGTGAGGACGTGCGTGTCTGTGTGCTGGGGGAGATGGAAGTGCTCCACATGCACAAAGACATGTTGAAAAACTTCAGTCAGAGAAAGACAGGAAAACCTTTCTTCTTCTTCAGTGTTTAACCACCATGAGTGAGTGCTTAGCACCTACCTTTCACGGAGATGAGACAGGAATCTTAGCTCTCAACCACAGGACAGCCCCACAAAACTGAGCATGGGACCTGACACTGATCTGGATTAGTGGTTGGTCGACATCTGGACCGACCTCCCAGACGCTACCCTAGCATCTTAGGAATAAGGACTTGCCTGAGACAAGCTACAAGACGTTGGTTGAGCCCTAGCGGAACGTCTCCTATCTTGAGAGGGAAGAGATATTTAGTTAATGAACAGGGAGCTGTAATGAAATCCAAGACCCATTTACAAAATATCTGGGCTTACCCTTGAGAGAGTTGCTAAGTCATAAATGGAGCTGATTTATAAATTTGCCTTTTCCTAGATAGAAAGAAAGATACGGGCTTAAAAAATGTCTGGTATGTGGAGCGTAGCATCCTCAGGGGAGCTATGAGGTTCAAGGAAAGATACAGGTAAGAAAGTATATGACCTGGTTCATGTGGCAGTCTTGAAGTCACCTTTGACAAAAAATTCAGAGGTGGCTTGAGAGGGATTCTGTTCTTGGAAATGTGGCATGTGGGAGGCCAGACATCAGACATCGTATCTCGCTCTCTTTGCAAACCGAGGTGACGGCATCTGCTACAGACGCAGGGCTAACTCCTTCCCAGGAGAATTTAACAGCATGACTTCAGCATATGCAGCTGCCGACAGACATGAAGAAATGTGCTTACTGGAAGCAGGAGCGTGTTAGTTCGATCCAGCTCTGCAGTGTCTGTACAGCAGGGGTTTTTGGTGCTTTAATCTAAAGCCGATTCAATCACCAAAAAAGCCCCACTAAAGCACCCGATCTATACAGACGCTGGGCGAGCCGGGTCCAACTAAGTGATGCCTCTTCTGGGCAAGTGCTGGGCTCAGCGCGGAGGAACGTGGAGTTTAAAGTGCCCTTTTTTGGGGGGAGGGTTAGGTTTGTAAGCAGCCTAATTTCCCATACAGGGCCAGGTTAGCTCTGTGTCTAATAACTCATGGATAACAAGCTGCCTTAAGCAAGCATAAGAGCCAGTTGTGGAGAATGCTCAACATCTGAAATGTTACAAATGCTCGCAGCATCCCCCATAATCTGATCACTCCCTTCTGTATGTCTGTGTGTGTCCTGCACATGATCAGGAACTTGTAAGACCACTATACAATTAAGTGTGAGGCATTTACCAGTGACAGATAAAATGAAAATGTTATGGGTGAAGTAACAAGAACTTCTGATTTGCTCACAGTATCATTATGGGGCAAAGCTAAGGTGGTTGGGCATCTTCTTTAAGAAGTGCAACCTTTTTTATTAGTTTTTATATCCTTGAGAAGTTGTAAATACTTCAGCTATTTCTACGCGTCTGAAGCTTTATCCCCTATTAAATTTTTTGTGCAAGGTTTATAGCAAAAACATAAAAAAACCTTATCTGACAACCAACTTGTAAAAATAGGTGTCATGTGCACTTCAGATGTATCACAAGTGAGCACATGAAAAAGTCTGTGCGCACATTCTAGAAAACAGACGTGAAGAGAGGAGACCAAGCAAGGGCAATGGGCAGAGACGATCTGCCCAGCTCCACGGGGCCCCCCAAAGCACGGGGCCCGGGGCAGTTGCCCTGATTCGCCCCCCTCCCCAGGGATGGCCCTGGCTGTGAAACACAAATATGAAGGAAACCATTCTCCTAAAACTATGCATCATAGGCTTAATCTAAAGCCCAATAAAGCCACCTCGTTACAGAAAGCTGGTGACAGACAGACTTTGCCAGGTTTCATGGTTAAAGTTATTATCCAGAGTTCAAAGATGGAATTATAACTTCCTCATGCAATTAAGAATACACTTTTTTCTTGTTAAATACAAGAATGTATTTTATATTAAACGGTCTATTATGGAATTTTGCACTAACAGTTCCATATAGTTCTTTGAAAATAGAACGTGCCTTTGTTACTGCACCAAGCAAGTCATGACAAATTACAAAACAGCTCAAAAGCTGCAGTCAGACTGCCTGAAAAATAAGTCTGAGTCAAATAATTATCACTTGATAAACACCCATGCTGGAAACAGAAAACCTACGTATTAACCAGATCACTGAGCTTTTCTACAAGCCATTATAAAAATTTTAAATTATTTCCCAAAGTTCAAAGAATAAGACATTTTGGGTTTTCCTTTTCCATAAAAAGTAACCATCGAAAGAAAGTCACCAGTACAAGTTATAGTTGCTATAGTTGCTGTTCCTTTTATGTAAGTATTTATTAAAAATTCTACACTTTAAAGTTGTAGTGATGACAAAGTGATGGGGTGAGAGACAGAACTGTAGATATGATTCAGCAAGTTAAAAATATTAACATACTTATCGTAGGAATAGAACAATACATGCTAGTATATATATTTATGAAAAAACTTAGTACCCTGAATGTCTGACCAAGTGTTTTAACACCTGGGAATGTTGGTTGTTCTCAAAGGACACACAATGGACAGTGAAATCTCCTTTGATTGTAAAACACTTGGAAGATGAGTAATGTCAAAGAACTACTGTCATTGCCTTTTGAATGCAAAATAGATCACTAAACAGTTCCAAGATGCTTCCCAAAATCAAATGATTTTGAGAGAGATAAAACATTATCCACACTGTTTCTCAGTCACAACTAATGTATCTTTAAAATTACAATCCAAAACAGAACATAAATCATAGACAAGGAAGGCTGGAAGGGTGCTCAGGAGGTCACATCTAGTCCAACCCCTGCTCCAAGCAGGACCAGTCCCAGCTACATAATCCCAGGCAAGGCTTATGTCTATGTGGGTCTTAAACACCTCCAAGGATGGAGACCCCACCACCTCTCTGGGGAGCCTGTTCCAGTGCTTCACCAACCTCAACTTGCCTTGCTGCAGCTTGAGCCCATTGCTCCTTGTCCTGTGTATCTGCCCCCACTGAGGACAGTCAAGCTCCATCCTCTTTGCAGTCCCCCTGCAGGGAGGTGAAGGCTGCTATTCAATCCCCCTCAGTCTTCTCTTCTCCACACTAAATCAGCACATTTCCCTCAGCCTCTCCCATCAGTCCTGTCCCCCAGCCCCACAACCATTTTCATTGCCCTTCACTGGACTCTCTCCAATGTGTCCACATCCTTTCTGCAGTGGGGGGCCACAACTGGACGCAGGACAACAGATGTGGCCTCCCCAGTGCTGAATAGAGGGGAAGAACCACTGCCCTCGATCTGCTGGCAACGCTGCTACCAATGCAGCCCAGGATGCCGGTAGCCTTCTGGGCACCAAGGGCATGTGTGAGATGCTGTGGGCCCTGCCCTGCCCTCTGAAATCAGTGGCAAAACTCTAGATTACTCCAAGTAGGCAGGATCAAAGATATTAATGTAGTGGTGTCAGTGTATTAGGCCTTCTTTGTAGATGACTAGAATAATTACAAACCTCCATTTACTTGACTTTTCCGTCTCACTCGAGAGATCTGTTTGTTAGGCTTTTCTCCTGTTTGAGGTGTGGATGTAATCAAGTTGTTATCTATGTCACGTTCAATTCTACTTCTCTTTGCAGGATGTTCTCTTTCTTCCTTAAAAGAGAAAAAGTAAAAATACATCTTACAAATACTATCTTTTCTTCTAGTAAATACTACTGGATACTCCACCAATCAAAAACTTCTACCTGCTTCTAGGTAAGAAAAAAACAACGTAGAAATTCCAGATGACAAGGTATAACTCATCCAAACTGTCAAAAATCAAGGTACAGGAGGCACTATTAGGAAAGAAAGCTGTATACACATATTCTTTTGCAGAAAAGAATAAGTTAAACTCCTTTTTGATGCACAACAGATCTGTAAACATCAAGTGTTGTGGCATTAATGAAACAGCATGGGACACTGCAATGATGCTTGAATTAATGGATAACCTGATGATTACAATGATCTGCAACCTGCTTTCTTTCACTATCAGAATACCTGGGAAGCAAAGTGCATCCCAAAAGCCAATATTAAATCCTTCATATGTGGCCCCTTTATAAAATGTGGTATTGACAAACTGTACAGAAATAATTTCTGCTACAGTACAGAATATAGAAATGCTGTAGAGGTAGTCATAGTACAGGGTGTGCGTCAGGCTTTTATGGGACAAAAACAAAAAAACAGAGGGTAAATTATTAAAAGGAGAGGTTAAGTCCAAATGTTTTCTCCTACTTTTGGGTAAGGTGACTTCCTTTTAGATGCTCATATATGCTTTGGTTCTCCCAAAACATATCTTTTTATACATCTGCCCTATGTGCATGTTGTGTTGTGCTCTGTTGTGTTGCATTTCTTATCCTGTTCCCTCTCAACATGTGCAAACTGCCCCATGTCTTAAAAAAATGCTATATATGAAATCTGAAGATGACCCTCTGCAATATGCTGAAAAGTGAAGTTGTGCAGATAGTGTAAAATAAATTCATTTAAATCTCAAACAAAAAAGTTGCAGAACTCCTTGTATTATTCATGTTCATATTTAGTCCAATTAGAAATTTTAAAATAAAAAAAAAGGCTGAAACTACTGCACAATTTCCACAGAGCCGCAGAATGTGAAGGTTAAATCAGACATGTACCTTGCTGCAAAGTGTATGGGGCCTAGCCTACAACACAGCTCTGAACTAAATACTCCTACCTCAAATAGTACAGTGCAGGCAAGTGACAAAATACAGAATTAAAATCTGGAAAAAATAGGCTATTTAAAATTAGTGGGCCTATAAAAATCTAAAGCCCTTGTTCAGCCTAAAGTATAAGTATAGTAGAAATTAGGAGTAGCAGCAGTATCAAAATGAAAAAGTGCAAACCTCCCAACAGTCACTGCTGTAGCAAGATCTTGCGTTCTTCAGTTAACATTACTGCATCAACAGGCAAACTAAGTATTTGGGAAAGATAACTACTACAGCAAAAAGAAGGCTCCCTGAATTGGGAAAAGGATGGTAAGGCCTCTCGACCTGCAGGTCACCAAGTCAAATTCAGTTCAGGGAAGAAGTGACAGAAAGTCATTAACACGTTCAAGCTGCTCATTGGTAGATGTGAATTGAGCTGGTGCTGCCATTCAGATGTAGAATCGTCCCCAAAACCACGGTCATAGCTGGCACCTCTAGGCGCTCTTGTGGAGTTCATCAGGACAGAGACAAAGAACGCACGAGTCTGGAGACTGAGCTGGACCCTCCAGAAGAACAGAACGAGGGGATGTGGGGAAACCTGCACGGCTCCCGCCCGCACTGCGCATGTTCTGTGAAAAGGACTTCAGTCTCCAGGACAGTCAATCTCGCACCTTTCAGGAGCAGTACAGTTACTTTAAGAGTTGAAAACCAAACTGCAGATCTCTTTTCTTTTCCTGTTACCCAAACCAAACACAACTCTTCTACTTCTAAAAGTTATCTGTTTGCTGGAAATGAAGTAAAGCAAATTACCTCTTAGGAAAAAAAAGAAAAAGAAAAAATGGGCAAAGCAATAGTGAAATATATAGATAGTAAGATAAACTAATGGACACAAGGGGGTCTTGTATTACAAATCATAAAGCAGTGTTCAAGTGGCTTGTCAATAGCATTTAAAGATGAAATTACATCTGATAGTGTTGCTGTAATTGCTTTACAGTAGAAAATGTCTACTGTAAAGATTACTGTTCACAGTCAATGCTCCAAATTTAACCAACAGTTGTGGCAGACTAAAGCTAGTATGGAAACATCACTTCGATATCAATATGCTGTTTTCTTTTCAGATACTCTGTAATAAAAATAAAAGTTAATGAATGGACTGCAATGAATCCAGAAGAGATAATCCATTATAAGACATAAAACCACACAAAAGAAGACAAGACAAGACAGAAAAAAGTGAATATCAGTTATACAGTTATTATAATCCCCAAATAGGAAAGATCAGTGTAACTTACCACAGTCAGTATTTTTGAACTTTGAAAAATAGCACTTTACTTCTTTATCATTGAAAGGCTAGGTTAAACATTTTAAAAACTGTTAAAAGTTAGTAAAAGCGGTCCCCGTCATCCAAGGCACCTCATCTGAACCGCATCTCTACATCCGCATCAGTGCTACTGTGAAACTAGATTTATGGACAATAACTCTGATGTAAGAATTAGCGCGATTGTTTTAAAGTTCTGCACTGACTCGGACAGGAGCTGAAGGCATCCATCACGCAGGCCGCCAGGTAAGGCCCACAGACACTTGAATTCTAATGGGCATATTTTAGCTACTTGCATATCTACATAAGCTGGTTTTTAAGGGACAGCACAAGCCATCATTGTGATATCAAAGTAGTAGCCTTTGACTGTAATGTTAGCTTCAATATATTTTAAAGACTCCCTTGTATACGCTCATTACTACAGATGTATGTAATCTCGCTCTCAATTTACAGCATAACATCCAGGTAACTGAACGACTATATAAAGTAACGAGCACAATCCACCTCAGACTTCTGATGTTACCACGGTAACCACAACTATTTTGTGAAATCATCAGCGCTCAGCCACATAAATATCGGATGTTAATGCCGTTTCACGGCCCACATGCACACGGGAGAAAGAAAAGGTGGAATTTTATGTTTTATGTTCAGGTAAATTTAGGACCAAAATGTAAGTGACTTTAAAATGAGCAGGGAGGGGGTTAACAAAATCTGAAATAATCACAAATCTTTCAGTTTTCTTTTAAATTCAATGAAAATTATTATTTTGATTCAACTACATTCTTATAGTATGTTGCAGCTAAAATATTAAATCACTGGGCTAGGAACCAGAAGCTTGGATCAATTCATTGTGCAAGCTTAATCGAATGTAAATTTAAAAATGAATCAGTTTTAACAATCCAGCCTTTACCACAGAAGAAGTTATCTATCTAGCTATCTAATTTAAAGTAGTCTTCCTTTAAGTCAGTGCCTGCCTTTTAACACAATGGGTGCTGAACAAATAACTTCAGACTGGACTGAGTGGTGTTATATGACATTTTAAACCAGTACACCGCTTCTTAATATATTGACTAAAAGTTAAAATTCTAAACCAGCCTTTCAACTCAATGTTAATAATAGAAAAACATTTTACACACACACACGTTTCTGTTAACTGATTTTTATACATCATTTCTTGCTGCTGAAGAATTGTATTATCAGAACTTCTGGACTGATGACACTGACAGATTAAAAGTTTTATTATAAACAGCTCTCAAATAATTAGAATAAGTTTTGAAAACTATTTTAGGGCTGCGTTCAAGCTGTTAATAGATAATTGCCCCCCCGAATCTGCACTGAGCAAATTTTAAGTCTGGAGATCAGTATGTTTAAGATTTCTGGCTCCATAAAGATAGAAATTCAGTGGTTTAGCTCTGAGATACCACGACTGAATACAGCCCATGAACTCCACAGCAGAATTTGTTCTTTAGTATATAATAAGGTAACATTTCTCATTTTTCCAGAGGAATATCTTGATAGTAAACCCGGCAACTTGCATATTGTCACGTATATACATGTAACTGGTTGTACAGACTCGTGCTATCTACATCATTTTTCCTTTTTTCCCAATTTCTGTGTTTACACACGAGTACTAAGGGACAGTTCTTCCCTTCTACTGCTTCTGAAGCTATTTTTCTTATGATAACATTTCTTTTATACAAATTCACATAAGTACTTGAACAAATGTAAGAAAAACTCAATATGAGGCAATTAAAATTTTTAGGAACAAAAGAGCTCATACCTTGGTTGTGCTTCCTTTAATGAACTTTTTGATTGAAGACAACAAGCCAGTTTCATTTTTCTGTGGTTTTCCTCCTCCAACAGGTAAGCTTTCTTCTACCTCTGAATGTTTCCTCTTTGTCCTCAAAGCACGCTGCGTGTGAATTTGATTTGACTGCTGAGAAGCTTTCCGCGTTCTCAGCCTCATTTTTGTGTGTACCACATGTAAAACTGTAAGAAAAAAACCCCTAGGTTATTGAAGAAATACATTAAGCCTCAAAGTGTGAATCCACAATTGTTCTGTAATATTTACAAACAGTGTTCTGCTGTTCTAGTTAATTTTTAACTCTGTAGATATGTGACTTCAATAATGCTACATTTTAAGGCTGTGTATCAAAATTTAAGACCTCTCTGTGTCTACATTGGTGTCAAGCTTTGCATGGAAGTAGAAATTATGGCATAAACTGTCTACTAGTGCAGGTTAATGTTTTGTGTCTCTTCTGCTAAACTGAGAAGGCTTAAAACTAATCTGCTGTACTGCTGTACCCAGTAGCATGACTTAGACCTCACCGAACTCCTGCAACTTCTTGTATCTACTAAGAAGGTGTAGCTAAAGCAGTTTCCTGACACTCAAACACACAAAAATTACGAAGAGGGGCAAGGATATTTTTGCAAGAGAAAACAGAATCATGTTAAAGGGCTGCTAGGATAAATAAAATAACAAAATAAAACAAAGTATAGCAGAGATCCACTAAACAATATCTTGGCTTAGTCTGGTTGCTAAATGCCTGCCCAAAGAGAAAGGTCTTGCGGTGCTTGGACAAGATGTCCAGGCTCAGGCCAAGCCACCTTGGTATGATGGACTGACGGTACTAGGAGGTTGCTCCCAGCTGGCTCGAGGGATCACAGTGGGGCTGAGGAGAGACAGCAGTCCCTTAGGAATGTCACTTCCAGGCCACTTCGGGCTTTCTAGATCAGACCTGGGACACACAATTGTGCCAGGAAAGCTACTGGAAGCCAGCGCAGACTCTCCTGGAGTTACCGCTTCGGGCGACCTATCCTTGTTAGAGACGACAGGCCTCTGCGTTCTGCACCAGCTGCAGCCTCCACGTATGAGCGTCTACTGGAACTACCCAGGCACTTAAATATTACATTTCTAGATCAAAGCTACGCCTCCACTGGCTGATTGGGCATTTAGCAACGCGCGTATTTGGATCGACTTGAATGGGACTACTCAAGGCCAGACAAATGAAGCAGCCAACAACTTTATATGGGTGGGTGTTATACAGAGGAATATTGGTCAGACTCATTTACTTCCTAACCCACTTCATGACACAAGTCAATGTTATGAAAGATTATAGATGCCTCAATCACACGGCAGGATTCAGTATCTGCTTTAAGAAATGTCTTTAGTGCCCATCCAATTCTAACAGTTGAACAGGTAGAAAAAATAACCTGTAATACGTATACATTTAGGTAATATGAAACAACAGCTGCCTTGAAGATTTTGAAAAACAGCAGAAGTTTGTGAATGAATGGCTACGGGCATAACAGCGCGGTGATACTTCTCTTCAAACCAACCCAAGTTAGCACTGACCAAAATGTATAAAATATGCAGACTGCTGATTAATCTCAGTCCTACTGCCAGTAGACAGGTGACCAGTAACCACCCCTTCCCCCCCACTAATATCACCACTGACCATTTTTTAAAAGACTTAACAGACAGCAAAGCTCTAAACCAGAAGACCTTTCAACAGAACCAGGCTGCTCTATAATGGCATGATCGGTGCCACTGCTGTCAGACTTGCTATACCTGTTGACAAGAACAGGACTTCATTTTATATATAAAAATATATTCTGCCACTTTTTATAAGCACCAAATTCACCAATGATCCTAACAAAGAGCAACAGGAGTTTTAGTTTTAAAATGTTTAGATTAAATATGAAGAAAACTAACGACTTCCATAATTTAAAGAAGGGAAACAGAAACTGCAACCAAAAATTTTACAAAATTAGCCTTTTGTATTTTTGTGCATATCAAGCAAAGGAAGCATTAAAACCCAGGGCCCAGGTTGTCTTCATCATGTGAATATTTACAATTAAAGGCACTTTGTTACAAAGCAATGTACATGGAAAGAATAAGGCAGAGAAGGTATGGAAACGGTAAATCAATTTGAACCCAATTTTTCTTACACCATGCTACCAGAACAATGAAAGTTAGAAATAATTTACTTACGTAAAGATGTAAAGGAAAAATATTTATTAGAAGATGAGACACAAATTCTATTCATTTCACATTAAAAATATACAAACTTAGGAAGACTCTCTTTTCTCCACTCTCTATGATATAATAGCAGATTTAAAGCTAAACCATAAACCAAAAATACATTTTATAGGTGATGGAAACAGTTTCCCAGTACTCTCCTGTTTAGGAGTTTATAGGTTTGCGCAACTTAAGATGTTAGGCCAAAAAAATGGCAGTTGTTGCTATCTGCCCCAAGCTTTCGTTTTTGGCAAACTCAAATGGTCCCACTGTATTCAAAAATGAGGTGGGAGAAGTATGTTTTGCCACTTTTAAAATTCACTGAGACGCTCTAGTGCAGTGGTTCCCAACTTCTTTCATACTGCAGACTGGCAAACTCACTCAAAGAATTTTGGCAGACGGGATATAGAAACAATCTAATTCACATATTTAAATTTAATTTTCACGTGGGAGGTGTTGCGAGGAACATCATCAATAAAGAAAGAGACAATAGCTAAAAATCATACATACACATCACTAGCTGGCTAAGCTAGCTAGCTGCTGAGGATACCAGGAGGAGACAAGCCAGACGCTAGTAGCTACGGCAGTCGTGCTGATACGGAAGTAACTAGCCGCGGTTACCATGGTCCAATTTCAAAAGCTAAAGCCAGAGTCATTGGCCAAGCGAGGACATTTTTGCCCAGCCAATCAGCATGGCGTGGGCATGGCCTGGGCATAGACCTGCTACTAGCAGTGGTTAAAGCTCGTGCCACGACCCAGCAGCTGACCCGTTGTGGCCCAGTACCAGGCCACGGCCCGGTGGTTGGGAACCTCTGCTCCAGCGCTTCCATACTTTAAAACAGGCACTGGAAATCTGGCAGGAGGACTGCTTTTGTTGTCAGGGATTTACCCAGTGGTGTCCCCATAAAAACTACTGAAATGTGGTCTAGTTATAAGACTCTGCAAGACTGCACCTTCCACATTTCAGTAAACTCTCGGTAGAGTTCAGGCCTACATTTTCTAAAGATTTCCCCTGGCACTGTGTGCGCTTCACTCCCTCAACTTGCACTGGGCACCAGACACAACATCCCAGGAATTAACTGAGTACTCTCCATCCTAGGGCTGTGAGGCCTGTCAAGGATTTTCCCTGCAATTGCTAACTTTCTCCCAACTTTTAATGGTCTCTGTGGTGCCAGGCACCAAAACTGAGAGCAAGCAGACAATCATGGAAGAAGGAAGGAATAGTCTGACATGCATGCAAAGGGAGAAGGTTGGGAGACAAGGACCGGCACTGAAGCCATAGGGAGAAATATGACTGGGAGTAATACGGGCAGGAAAGAACAGAAGAGGACTAGGAAAGGCTGGAAGACTGTTACTGAGAGCACCCCTCCATAAAGAACCTAGTCTTGAACACATTATTTCCAACTCGTCATATTCTGTTGCTATCTAGCAAATATAGTGAAATCTAAGACAGAATCACATGGGATTGGGAAAACATTTTGCTTTAGACAGCTTTCCATCTTATAGTGGGAGCTTTCCAGCTGCAAAGGCATGCCAGGACCATAGACATTTTCTGGCAAGAGCAGGTTTCTGGCTTATGCACGTTCCATCTTCGGTTTCAATGTACCTGTGAAACAACCAGCACAAGTATGCCTGCATTCCCTCCAGAGGCAAGTCCACATAAAAAATAAGAGCCATCAATTGCTTTAAGTTACTTCATTAGTTCTATTATAGACCCCTGCGCTGCCAACGACCCACGTTGGGAGTCAGTGGGTGTATCTACATGTGCAATGAATGCAACACAGTAAACTCCAGAGTAGTTCAAGCCAGAGTAAACTGCTCCCGGACACAGCATCTACATGTGCGCCCAGGACAGCAGCAGTCTGAGCCAGGGTGGAGTAGGTCCCTGGTGGCCGGGCTGAGAAGGTGCAATTTAGGCCCCATGTCACCCCATGTCTACACCAGGGGCAAGCAATTATTTTGGGCAGAGGGCCGCTTACTGAGCTTTGGCAAGCTATCGAGGGCCACATGACAGATTAATATTAATTTTCTAAATTTTTTAGGGGCCCCGTGGGCTGGATACAATGGCCTGGTGGGCCGCATCCAGCCCCTGGGCTGCATTTTGCCCACCCCTGGTCTACACGTATGTTTTAGAGCAGGAAAGTACTTGGCTGTAAGACAGTAATGTCATACTATCCTACAGTGGAGTTAATTAGTGGAGTTTATTGTACTCTAATACCGGTGCGTGTGTAGACAGTGATGCTTTACTGTGGAGCTAATTAGTCTACTCCACAGTAAAGCACATGTGTAGATGCACCCAATATCATTCTACATAATGAAAACATCGGCAAAAGTTTGAAAAAAATTAAGTTATCAAAAGTCAGGAAAGGAAAGAATTAAGTTTGCCTTATTATGGTCCCTTTATATGGGAGCAGTATGATATAGCCTTTAATCATACAAACACGCCCACGCCCAAACTGAGGTTGCATGGGCAACCTTAATTCTGACATTTCTTAACCTTTAGGGTGTTTGACTTTGCAATTTTAACATTCTTTTAATGTAACTTATTTGAATTAATTAATTACATCATGCTAATGAGTGTTGTAAGCTCTAAAACATCACATCAACAGAGATATATAGTGCACAATCAAGCAAACCTAGGCAACTATTCCCATCCTGCCTTTTCATTGTGTAAAAAAATAAAATAAATCAAATACATAGAAGTGGTTATAGTGTTAAGCCCAGCATCCTAACCTAGTATTAGAACAGATAATTAGCTTCTAATTAGATTAATAATTTAAAAAAAAAATCTAAATTTCTCCCCTAGTTCCAGGTAGCACAGTATTCCTCGATGGTTACAGTGTTGCAGGTGCTATGAAATGATTACTACCACTCTGCCAGATATGGTTCTTATGGCTCCTAAAGATTCAAAGTTAGAATCACAGAGAAGCAGGGCTGAAGGGGATCACCAGAGATCATCTAGTCCAAC